ACTCCTCTCACCCTCCCTCTCCTATCCAAAGAGCAGTCATGGTTCCCTGCCCTGTGGAAAGTCCAAGGTCCTCCCCCCTCCGTCCATGTCTAGGAAGGTGAACGTCCAAACTGGCTAGGCTCCCACCAAGCCAGAACATGAAGTAGGATCAAATACTTTTTCTTTCAATCTTCCTAATGGTACACCTTTAATACAGATCCTCATATTCTGTTGACTCTAAACATAAAATTATTTCATGTGCTACTTCCTAACTGTAATTTTCCTACTGTTATGAATTTTAATGTAAATATCTGTGTTTTACAATGGTCTTAGGTGCCCCCCTGTGAATAATTCTTCAACCCCCAAAGGGGTTGTGACCCACAGGTTGAGAACCTCTTCTCTAACTTATTCTCATAAATTTTCTTAAATGAATAATTCTGGCTAGACATGCACAATTATAAAACCAACTTCTTTAAGGAAATAAATTAACAATATATTAGGCAAAAAACCTTTTATGTTGGAAAATTTCAAATAAGCTGAGCAATGTTACAAGGATTTTTCAATACTTGCTTTAAAAAACTGTCATGCACATATATCTAAACAATCCATACCTTAATTTTCGAAAAGCATGTCACCCCACGAGTTGCAACCCTCTTCCCAGGTTCTCCCATGTTCTTCTGATGGTTTCCAGATGTTTTTCTTTAAATGTCTTACTGCTGCCTTTCCAAAAATATCAAACAGTTTTCAATTAAACTATTGACTGAACTGTAACAAGTCATACATAAAAAAAGAAAATAAATTTTACTATAGGTCTTAATCATCATTTCTATTGCTGTGATAAAATACCAGAACCAAAATCAACTTAGAGTAGCAGAGGGAAAACCAAAATCAGCTTAGAGGGGAAGGGTGTTACTTAGCTCACAATTTTATATCACAATTTATCACTGATGGAAGTCAGGGCAGAAATTTATGGCAACAGTCTGGATACAGGAGCAGATGCAGTGGCTAAGGAGGAATACTGCTTCCTGCTTTTGCTCTTGTGGCTTGCACTACCTGCTTTTTTACAGAACCCTGGACTGCCTGGCCAGGGAAGGGCCCACCCATAGTAATCTGGGCCCTTTCATATTAATATTCAATAAAAAAGTACACCAAAGGATAGACCATAACCTTGCGACATTTTCTCACTTGAGGTTCCTTCTCCCCCAAATGACCCTAGCCTGTGTCAAGTTGATATAAACTGTCGGGCACAGCTGTAGAGGTGATTTAGTCGGTAATGTGTTTGATTTCTAACTTGAGGACATCAATTTGAATTCTGAGCAACCGACTGAAAACCTGGACTTCTCTGCACCAGTCTGTAACCCCAACACTGGGAGGACCCAGAGAGCAGGATCACTACAGCATAGCATCCTGTCACTCTAACCAAATGAACAACTGACAAATTCATTGAAGAGACTCCATTATAAAACCTAAGGTGGAACATTCTAGTGGACGACATTAAGTACTGACTTGTGATCTCCATAATATGTTCATCTGTATGTGTACACCTGGCCCTACACATGTAACTAAGTATATACATAAAAGTACATATTCACTGCACAGTCTCTCTCTCTCTCTCTCTCTCTATATATATATATATATATATAGATAGATAGATAGATAGATAGATAGATAGATATATCACATACACACACGTGTGTGTGTCTGTGTGTGTGCATCACTTGAAAAGGAACAACTTAACCAGTACCTTAAATATAAAATTATCTAGGAAGTTTTTATTCTGACTGATCTTGAAAAATAAATGTCATAGGAGAAGATTTGGTTAGTTTGATTTCTACTGAAAAAGTCAGTGAAAATAACTATGCTTAGTCTTTGGTGATATTAAAGCTAGCCTCAGAGTTTGTTAGGCTCTAACGTGAAGCTAAGGAAAATGTGGTTAAAACAAAACTTTTCAAGCAAATGAAACCTGAATGAAGCCCTTTGAAGTCACTTGAAGGCTGCTGCCTTTAAGAACATGAAGATATCTGCTGTGTTTTTTCTAAATGTCTGTCTCACTGAGCCAACTAAAGCTGTTTTTCCAGGCTTCTTTCTTGGGGTCTTTGCGTTCTAAGATTTCCCTCGTGTCCCAAGAAGAGAAACACTTCCTGGGGGCACTGTAGATTCACAGAGACCTGGGGAGACAGAGAATTTTAATTAAGAAAGCAACCTAAAGAAAAACAACAAATAAATCTATATCCTTTCAGATGCATTTTAAACATGTCCATAGAGGAAAAAAGACAAAGCAACCTGTTTCTTTGATTCAACAAAAATTGTGTGACCCAATACTGAATCATGTCACAATCTCCTCTTGAGCACTTTGAACCTAAATGAGAAATGTGCACAAGTGGTAGCCACATGAACAGTGTCCCTTTGTTAGTACAACATTGTTTAAACAATAACTTCTGTTCCCAGGATCACAGTATCAAAATAAATCCATTATCAGCCATCAGTCCTAAAGAAAACAGGATGTTACACTTTTATTAAGCTGCCGACACTGTCATGTCTCCTTCTTTCACACCCAAATGAGGCATGGAAACATGCCAGTCTCATTGTCGAGCAAGAGTGTATAACTATGAACCATTTTGCATTGCTTGTGTTTTTGTACAAATGTATGACAGAATGTCTGCTCTCTCAATCATTTTAAGACCACAGTGCATAATTGCAAAGTAGGTGGGTGAGCATACTATAAAGCAGATCTCTAAAACAGTAACTATCTTGTAGTACGGACACTCTATACACACAGAGCAGCAACATAGCTCTGGGGGAACTTTTGGCTGATGGTCCTTAATGACATCTCAATCACAGGGAATATAACTCTGTACAAGGTAAATAAACGCACTCTATCACACTCAGTATCCACCCAATTTGCACTTATCAGGAAATCCATGCTCTTCATGCCACCTTACTCTCTACGGTTGAATTAATGAAACAAAGATTCTGCTTTACCATAGCCGAGCAAATAATACATACATGAAGAAGTCTTAGGAGATGATCCTCTTCCTGGTGCTGGAAAAAGAGTTACAGGAAACAAAGTCTAATGAAAAGTACCTTTCCCCAGGATTCTCAATGTGCCTCTAATTCCTAGGGACAGCCTATTGGGTGCTGTCCAGTTGAACTGTGTTCAACCAATACCAAGCCAAGAAAAAAAAAAACATGGAAAATCGATTGTAAATAGAAATTTCTGTCCCGTCTCATTCTGCAGTCATTCAGTCTTAAATGAACACATAGAAGCCTATATCAATTATAAGATAATTGGAACATTAGCTCAAGTTTATTATTAACTAACTCTTACAACTTAAATTAACCATAATTCTTGCCTATGTTTAGCCACCTGGCTTACGTTTTCTCAGTGAGGCATTCTCATCTTGCTTCCTCTATGTCTGGCTGGTGACGGCATATCTGCATTTCCTCTTCCCAGAATTCTCTTAATCTGGTTGCCCTATTTAACTTATACTTCCTGTCTGGCTGTTGGCCAATCAGCATTTTATTAACCAATATTAGTGACAAATCTTTACAGTATAAAAAAGTATTATCCCCACAGCATTTTCTCTTTTTTATTTTCTAAAAAAGAACTTGTATCTAATCACCTGTGCCTAGCTATTTTTCTGATGATTATCCAGAACAACTTGTAACTAACAACCTAAACAAAAACAAACATCCATAATCCATCTTTGAGGAATATGGGCATAATTTTCTAGGCTACTTCCTTCTGATTGGTGGCACTGATAATCTTATGGGGGCCCCAAAAAAATTAGGATTATGGTCAAGTACTGACTGGAATATTCTGTGAGGCTGGATCATCTTAGCTAATAGTCTGGAGCCTGTACTATGTAGAACTCAGAGGAAACTGCAACAGAGGTGCTCTGAAACATTGCATCATCTGGGCCATCCACTCCCACTAGAGATTTTTTCAAGGGGTTTTTCTTTTTCTTTCTTTCTTTTTTTTTGATAGCACATTCACTTTTATTTTTTTATTGAAAAAAAATCTGCCTCCTCCCAGCCTCCCATGTCCCTCCCCCTCCTCCCGCCCCTTTCCCCCTCCCCCCACTTTTCTCCTCCTCCCTCTCCAGTAGGAAGAGCAGTCAGGGTTCCCTGCCCCGTGGAAAATCCAAGGTCCTCCCCACTCCATCCAGGTCTAGGAAGGTGAACATCCAAACTGGTTAGGCTCCCACAAAGCCAGAACATGAAGTAGGATCAAAACCCCATGCCTTTGTCCTTGGCTTCTCATCAGCCCTTATTGTCTGCCATGTTCAGAGAGTCCGGTTTTATCCCTTGCTTTTTCAGTCACAGACCAGCTGGCCTTGATGAGCTCTCAATAGATCAGCCCCACTGTCTCTGTGGGTGGGTGCACCCCTTTGCTGGAGAGGTTGTGGAGGAAGGGGTACCCTCATCCATTGCTGGTGGGAATGCAAACTTGTGCAACCACTTTGGAAATCAGTGTGGCGATTTCTCAGGAAATTCGGGATTAACCTATCTCTGGACCCAGCAATACCACTCTTGGGAATATACCCAAGAGATGCCCTATCATATGACAAAAGCATTTGTTCAACTATGTTCATAGCAGCATTATTTGTAATAGCCAGAAACTGGAAACAACCTAGATGTCCTTCAATGGAAGAATGGATGAAGAATGTGTGGAATATATACACATTAGAGTACTACTCTGCGGTAAAAAACAATGACTTCTCGTATTTTGCATGCAAATGGATGGAAATAGAAAACACTATCCTGAGTGAGGTAACCCAGACCCCAAAAGATGAACATGGGATGTACTCACTCATAATTGGTTTCTAGCCATAAATAAAGGTCACTGAGTCTTTAATTTGTGATCCTAAAGAAGCTAAATTAGAAGGTGAACTCAAGGTTTTTTTCTTGATCAAACCTTTTTTTTTTAAACCCAGAATGAATCCTCCGCCTCTCGTTTTCTGTGGAAACAAAAGCAAAACCTCATCTCCAAACTAGCATACCTTTTGACTAAAATTTTGAAGTCAAGGTATTTTGAAAATATATAGGCTGGGTTAATACAGCAATATTTATAATCAAATGTCTTTTAGCAGCTGTACTTCTTCTTCAGTAGTCAAACAATTCAGAGACAGCACAATAACATACAGTATCCAGACTCTCTCTGTATTTTTCATCTTTACATGGCTTTTTTTCTTATTCTAAAGCAACTTCCAAAACTCTAGAATTGATAGAGACATCTTGCTGCCTGGACAGTCACCCAAAGTTCTTCTGTACCATTGGGGCATTCATCTTCAGCCTACAGGCCCATAGTATCTAGCAGATGTTTCCTTGAAGCATGAAATTTCAAAGACAGTTTCATCTATATTGGTAGTCACTTTCTTCTGTTTCCTGCAGAATGTCAGGCATACTTTTTTAGGAAGCAGAAACCCTGAAGGGCCATCTCACCATTAGATAAATTCAGCAGCCATTTCTCTAAGGGTTCTGTATGTCCAGTTAAGCAATCCAGGCAAGAGCATTTTCTTGCCCAAATGGTTAGCAAACTTTATAAGGAGCCTCTTCAATATCCATCTTCCTCTTGAAATAATTGGTGCTGCCAGGAGCAGATGTGTCTTATTGTCATGATAAGGCCTAAATTGTTAAAACAGTTTAAATACCATACTTTACTGTCTCTGAAAGGTTTAAAAATACCTATCTGAAATACATCTCTGTACATCTAGAAAATCTAACATGACTACAAGCTTGACTATTATAGATGATTATCTATTAACCTATATTTCCCAATTATACATTACATTTTGAAATAAGCTGCACAAATACAATCACTTAATCAAGTGCCAAATGTAGTGGCGTAAATGAAGGTAGATAGAAATTATAATAAAATATCAGCTTTAATTAGGAAAAGACTTACAGAACCCGAGATTCCCGCGGAGAACAGGAAAGCAGAAGGGAAGGGGGGGAACATCAGCAATATTTATTAGTAAAAAAAAAATCCTCAAGGGACCCCGCCCTACAAGCAAGGTGATTGGCTGAGACTACCCCTACAGTGTTTTTTGAGTGACAACACGTAAGTAAAGTTTAAAAGTTCCTAAAGAACTGATTCTACATTGGAAGATGCATATCTGATCTCATTTAGATAATAGATTATCCTGATAACCTGGATATCATGGGAAATTACAGATAATAAATAATAAACATTCACCTCTAATACTCTTCACATATTTTAAACATCACTCAGGAAAACTTGCCACATCAGTGTATTATTCAATTCTCATAAATCCCTGTGACATGAGTACTGTTAGCCCAACTTTAAAAGTACAGAGGAGTCAAACACCTGTCTAAGGTCATATATGTCATAATTGGTAAAGTCAATTTGCCCCTTCTCAAGTATCTGTCTCTGTGTAAAATCTAAACCTGAATCTTCTGAATGTATTTACAAAAGAATTTGCTTTAATTTGCCCTTGTTAATTTCTATACTGTTTCTGTAAGTATTATTGGAGTTTTTTCTAGTGAAAAATTGTAGAGAAGCTAGAGGTAATACTTAGTAGCACTTGTTGTTTGGCTAGAGGAATGTACATTAGACCCTAGCATCCTCATCAAATAGCAATAAAACCACTGGAATTCTAGCAAGGGATGCCAAAATACCAAGTACTGGCTGTTATTTCATCTAGAATATTCATGTGGCTTTTATACTAATGCCTTTTCATTATCTTTGGTTGCATGTATGTATGTATATGCATGTATGTGCACATGTGTATGTGTACATGAGCATATGTTTATGTGTTTGTACATGCATGTGTGGTAGGTGTGCATGCATGAATGTATGTGTATGTGTGTGCATGCATGAATGTATTTGTATGTGTGTGCATGGGGGCATCATATGTGTGTTAGCACACAAATATGCATGCATGCAAAGGAATACTCCCATTTATACAAATATACATGTGAAGGTCAGAGGATAACTTCAGGTATTGTTCCTTACGTGTCACTTGATTGAGATAGGGATCCTTCCTTTTGCTGCTTCATTCTGAGGCTAACTAGTTTGTGGCATTCCCAGGTTTCTTCTAGCTTTGCTTCCCATCTGTCTCTGGGAATGCTAGGATTTCAGACTCATCCAGCTATACTTGGGTTCTGAGGATGTGAATTCAGATCCTTATGCTTTCATGGCAACATACTGCTCTCTAAGTAACTGTCCCAACTTTCCATTTTAGAGCTTCTTGTAGCATAGGTTCATGTGTTATATTGTAAAACACATCATCAGAGCTGCTTTTCCTCTGGAAAAATGTCTCTGTTGCTAGAACACCATTATCAAAGGGATAGCCAGCCTCCAGTGTTCCCTTGTGGATCACACAGTAAACAAATATCTTTGTCCCTCTCCATTTTGCGATTGCCACCATTTTGAGATTCTTTAATACATTACTAATTTGTTGGAGATTTCTACTCAGGGGTCCCTGGAGGTGATTTTCTCTGCAGTTAACATAATAAATAGACTCTAATGCATCTGAGTTCATATTACTTATTATATCATGAAAGTATGATGTATATATGAGTATTATTTTTAATTTTGCACGTGTGAAGTCTTTCTTCATGTTTAATTACAAGATATTCCATCATCTCAATGCATCATTACCACATATTCCAAGTCCAAAATACAAATTCTTTATTCCTTTGGAAGCTACTCCAAAACAACAAGCCACAAGCCCCTACCTTGAATGACCTCAGGGGCATGAAGTTGAAAGAAAAAAATTAACAAGTGGACTCAGTATATCTAACTCTTTTGGAATGGCAAGATTTAAGAAGGGCTTATAGGTCAAAAGGAATTGACAATATTGGTCCGATTACAATAATAGTAACCATGTAAACACTAATATTGTAGTAGTCCTTGCACACAGAAGCCTGCTAAAGAATCTCCCCCCACGCAACACATTGAAAGCTAAAATTCCTGTTGCTTTTAGCAGATGCATATATTCAGTATCTAGCTGCTTGCTTCTCTCTCTGCCTGTTTACATAAGACAATCTTCCACAAATAACTTTGTGAACATGGAACTTTCATGAAGAGTTTTTAAAAATTGTTTTTTTTTTTGTCACCAGTGTTGTTTGGCTTTTTTATTTTTTATATAACC